ACCTCCCTCCCTACTCGATTCACAGACCACACATGTGGGGAGATCCCCAGACTTGCTTTGCCTACCTGGGTGCAAAGCCCCACGTCTCCCCAGGTACCCACAAGCACCAGCCCCATGCTCCCCCACAAGCCCACACCCCCAGGCTGCTTGTACTCCAAGGGCAGTCGGAATCTATCTGTAAAGTGACAGTGCTCTGGAAAGTACAGGTCAGGTCCTCTGCAGGTGGCTCCAGCTACACACCGTAAATTGAACCACCTGCTCCCATGAAATGCAGGTGTTGCAGCCCGAAACACTGGCCTGAAGCCTTGTAGTGTCTGTTTCTATCTCCCACTCTAGCAGATTGTGAACTCCTCCAGGGAGAGCTGTTTCCTCACCTCTGGATCCCAGATTCCAGGCCTACGCCACGTTCACAGTTTGGTCCATGTAGGCAGGAATGGATTTAACACTGCTTTGGGAAACTCAACTCTGTAGCTTGTGAACAATGAAGGCAGGATCTTGGCGCAGCGCTGATCAGTGCACTGGTCTCCTAAGTTGCCCCCGTGGCCTCTGATGGTACGTCCAGCTTTTACGGGCAAGGGGAAGCAAGTCACGAGGGGGCTGGATCTGAATGTTGAAAGCATCACCTCCAGGAATGCAGCCTGGAGGAAGCAGAGCCATGCCATGGCAGGGCAGCAGGATTAGGACCCAAGGGTCACAGGAAGACAGAGCTGTGAGCCGCACTGGGACTAGAAGGAGCTTGGCAGGTGGAAGGGGCTGTGAGAGTGTGCGGGAAGCCTCGTGGGTCGCCCCTGTGTAGGCAAGAGCGCAACAGCAGAGTCTGTTTCAGGCAGTGACGCCTAATTTCCCTAAGATAAAGATTCTTTTTTTTTTTTTTTTTTTGTTTTGTTTCCTCCTTAAGCAAACGTTAAGATAAAGTGCAGCTGGAATTTAAACGACAGTGAGGTGAACCCATTTGACTGAGATCCAGCCTGGCCACGGTTCCGAAGGGAACAACTCTGAGGGCAGAGAGCCTCACTCAGCAAGAGGCCAGAAACAGTCCCTGGAACCTGTGGGCTGCTTGCACTGCATCCTCCGGCTCCCTGCCCCTGCCCTTAGTTTTGAGTTGTGCTGGCTACTCCCTAGCAGAGGGCAACCTTATCTAATCTCAACAGTAATTCAAACACAGAGCACTGGCCTTCCCATGGCACAGGGCTTGCACAACTCATGAAAGGCTCAGCTCCTCTGAGCTCACACCCCTCACCTGACAAGTTTACACCTAACCCCAGGGGGAATAGGAGAGTCAGCAACATTTGCCATGTGCCTGGCACTTGTAAAAAAAAAAAAATGAGGGAAAGTTCTGTTCCTGGCTCTGTGTTTCTAGAAAGACAGAGTTTAACCGATAGCATGATTTTTAGATTCGATCTCATATCCCAGTCCTCTGGAGGGCTTGTCAGACTCTAGAGGTTGGCCTCCACTCAGAGGTGACCTCGGTCTGAGAGAAATACAAGTAGATTTCCATTTTTAACAGCCTCCCAGATGACGTGCAGGTTGCTCATCCAGGAAAGCATGTTTTGGAAATCACAGCCATGGGACAATATTCCTGGCCTCTCTCATCATCTTTCCTTAGGAAAAGTGAGTTCTCCTGCGTTTGGGGAAGAGCTGAGCCGCCTCTGGTGCTTCCTTTCGAATCTCCCTGCAAGCAGGGAGTTCTGGTCATTCTTCCTGGACAGAGGCTGCTCTCCTGGGAGCAGGCTTGTGGTTGTCTGCTTCTGCAGGTGCCTTTAATTTTGAAGCAAGGCATGTGTGTCCATCATGGACACACAGGAAAGCCACACCCTCATGTTAGAAATATAACACTGGGGCCCGGCGCGGTAGCGCAAGTGGTTAAGGTCCTCGCCTTGCACGCCCGGGATCCCATATGGGCGCCGGTTCTAATCCTGGCGGCCCCGCTTCCCTTCCAGCTCCCTGCTTGTGGCCTGGGAAGGCAGTCGAGGATGGCCCAAGGCTTTGGAACCCTGTACCCGCGTGGGAGACCCAGAAGAGGCTCCTGGCTTCGGATCGGCATAGCATCAGCCATTGTGCTCACTTGGGGAGTGAATCATCGGACGGAAGATCTTCCTCTCTGTCTCTCCTCTCTGTATATCCGCCTTTCTAATTAAAAAAATATAAAAAATATATAAAAAAAGAAATATAACACTGGTATTTTGACTTTCATCTGCTTGCATTTCTCTCACCTATTTTCCGACTTAAATGGGATAGGAAAACAATATTTTATTTTATCAAGTATCCATTGTGGGCAAGTATCATGCAGACATTTTGCCAACTCAAACCTGAGCTTCTTCAGCATTTTGTTTTATTTTTTTAAATTCATTTCATTATTATTTTATGATATAGTTCCATAGGCCCTGTGATTTCCGTTACAATGTCCCCAAAAACCCTCCCCTACACTGAGTTCTCCTATATTATTACTATAGTATTGTTCTTCATAAACAGTGACAAGTCCATCATTGCAGGCTTGGACAACGGCAGAGAGTCCAGCCTTCTATTGTCAAGATATGTAAAACAGTTTCACTGGGAGTCCATCTTTGATCTGGAAGTAGAGATGCATACTGCATTGTGTCCTCACATCTGGATATGATAGTCTCCATTACACAGTTACTATACATCCCCTTAAATGGAAAGCCACAAAACAAAATCAACAACAGGAAGAAAAATAAAACAAGAAATTAACAATTCCATGAAGTTAAATAACATGCTACTGAATGACTAATGTGTCGCTGAAGAAATGGAAAAGAAAATCAAGAACCTTCTTGAAGAAAATGATGCTTCTGTATGATCTGAGTCACTGAAGAATTTAATCAGAAAAAAGTGTTTTGAAGAGATGAAACTACCAAAGAAAAGCAAACTCCATAAGATATATTCTCTGCTGATAATTGTTGGTGAAATATATCTCCTGTAAGCAACAAATAGATGGGCTTAGTTTTTAATCCAGTCAATTAATCTATGAGGTTTGATTAATGAGTTTAATCCATTTACAATCAGGGTTAATATGAATGGGTGGCATTTTGATTCCGTCATTTTAGCAATGGGTTGTTCATTGGTTTAGTCTTCTGCTATCTTTTTCCTGGGATGCTCTTTGCATTTATCTTTGGTTTTGGTGGGTACTATTCCTTTTCTCTGATATGAGAACATCTTTAAGTATCACTGGTAGGGCAGATTTGGAAGAGGCATATTCTTTTAACTTTATTGTGGAAGAATTTTATTTCATTTTCAAAGACAAAGGAAAGTTTTGCTGGGTATGTTATCCTGGACCGACAATTTTTTAAAAAAAGATTTATTTATTTTTATTACAAAGTCAAGTGTACAGAGAGGAGAAGAGACAGAGAGGAAGATCTTCCATCTGATGATTCACTCTCCAAGTGACTGCAATGGCCGGTGCTGTGCCAATCCGAAGCCAGGAGCCAGGAGCTCTTCCAGGTCTCCCATGCAGATGCAGGGTCCCAAGGCTTTGGGACTGTTCTCCCAGGCCATAAGCAGGGAACTAGATGGGAAGTGGAGCTGCCGGGATTAGGACCGGCGCCCATATGGGATCCCTGGCGGATGCATTCAAGGTGAGGACTTTAGCTGCTAGGCCATCTCGTTGGGCCCAGGCCAACAATTTTTTGCTTTTAGAATCTGGAATATGTCACTCCATTCTCTTCTTGCCTGTAGAGTTTCCTGTGAGAGGTCTCCTGTGAGCTTAATTGGCATTCCTTTATATGTCAATTGATTTTTTTCTCACGTGCACATTTAAAGATCTTTTCCTTATGTTCTATTGAAGAGAGCTTGATTATCATGTGCCGTGGTGAAGATCGCTTTTAGTCAGTCTTGTTGGGAGTTCTATGCCCCGCCTGGATGTTATTTTCCAATTCTTTCTCTAGATAAGGGAAAATTTCCCTTATTATTTCATTGTATACACCTTTAATCTTTAATCCCAGCATATCTTTTCCCAGCATCTTCTGGGATTCCCATAACTCTTATATTTAGTCTTTCAATAATGTCTCTTAATTCTTGAATACCTTTTTTTTTTTAGCTTGACCCAGCTCTTCTTCCTGGTGACAGGAAATATGTTCCAATTCTGAGATTCTTTCTTCTGCTTCCTTCATTTTAATATTGAGGCCTTCCACTGAATCTTTAGTTTGCTCTATTGCATCCATCATTCCTAATAATTCTGCTTGATATTATTTCATGTATGTCATACTGCTTAACTTCCTTGAAATCTTGTATGTGCATCTCATTGTTGATAAGAAGCTCTAGGGCCTGTTGGCGTGGCCTACTGGCTAAAGTCCTTATCTTGAACGTGCTGGGATCCCATATGGGCACCGATTCTAATCCCGGCAGCTCCACTTTCCATGCAGCTCCCTGTTTGTGACCTAGGAAAGCAGTCGAGGACGAACCAAAGCCTTGGGACCCTGCACCCGTGTGGAGACGTGGAGGAGGTTCCTGGCTCCTGGCTCCGGATCGGCACAGCACCGGCCGTTGTGGTCACTTGGGGGGTGAATCACCAGACAGAAGATCTTCCTCTCTGTCTCTCCTTCTCTCTATATATTTGACTTTGTAATAAAAATAATTTTTTTTAGGTTCACTAAATTTATTTTAAAAATCATAAAACGTTTCTTACAAAAGAGCATACATTCTGCACACTGCTCTGAACAGATGCCAGGGATATGTGGATTCGTTACTTTCCTTCTTTGTCCCATCCCCCCAAATGTTACAGTGACCACAAAGCAAGGTGTTCACAAGAATTGCATGGGGGGAAATTTTTTAAACCACCAACAATAAACAAAAAATAAAATCCACTCACTCTGCTGTTGTTTCAAAATCTCAATGTTAGTTTTTGCACGCCCTCCCCCCACCCCCAACCCTGTTTGTAAGGAACTAAAACATTACATCTGGTGAACAGCAAAGATTTTCACTACACCTCAAATGCAGAACACCTATGAAGCAGAGGAAGGTTGGCTTTTTATAAACAGAAGCAGATAAAAAAAAAAAAAGATGCAGGACTCCTTCAGTTCTTCACTAGTCTTAGAAAAACTTTCCAGAATACTGCTCCACACTGTTCTGCAGCAAATACTGTGCATTCTGTATCTGGTCCTGTGTTCCTGTAATGGTAACGATCCGATCTTCGGATCCTTCTAAAGGCTCATCAATTTTGATGGAAGCTCCTGACTCATGACGGATTTGTTTAATCCACTGACCACCTTTGCCAATAATAGATCCAGCCAAATCTTTGGGAATAGTTACTTGTGTAGTAATAATAGGTCCACCAAGATCACCATATGAACCACGACCCCCTGCATAGGAATAATCATATCCAGAGCCACCCTGTGGTTCATAAGCTATCTGCCACTCCGATGGGCTCCGTGTATCTATCGCCGAGTCCCACGTTTCATCAGCACTGAAACCAACCATGCCATCGTAACGATCTCCAGGTCTTCCTCTTCTGTCATAGGCCATTAGATCTCCTCCCCTAGGTGGTGGTGGAGGAGGAAGAAGAAGATTTCGAGCTCTGCTGCCACCTCGTCCACCTCGTCCAGGTGGTGGTGGTGGTGGTCCTCGGCGAGGGCTCATATCATCATAATCTCGTCTAGATGGGGGCATGGGGCGCCCACCACGACCAGGAGGCATTCTGTCAAAACCACCTCTTCCCCGCATGGGAAATCCCACAGGTTGGCCACGGCGGTCATCAAACATCATTGTAAAACCACCATAATCATAAGTTTCATCATAAAAATTGGGATCATAAGGCTGTGCACGTCCTTTGATGGGAGACTCAGAAATAAGATCCAAGATAATCTTTATGCATTCTACAACTCTGTCAGGCTTTCCTCCAATGAGAACAACTCTGTCAGTGGAATGAGGACAGCATTCCTGGAAAAGCTTGATTGCTGTCTGAGTGTTCTCTCGAAGTTCTTTGATTTTAGCACCTTTGACCCCAATAATTCCACCAGCCAGACTCTGATGAATCAACAGTCTTAACTCGCAGTCAAAATCACTTCCTTTAAAGTGTTGGTAATTTAAGCATTCCACAGCATCAGATTCGAGCGGGAGCTGGCTGGTTGCAGTGGGTGATGGCAACTGCAGGCCCTCTTCCAAGGTAGGGATGATTTTCTTCAGAATTTCTCCAATTGTTTCAATATCAGCACTTAAAAAAAAAAAAAGAAAGAAGAAGCTCTAAATTGAGAGTTCTGAATTTTGTATCCCCCATTTTCTCAATGTATTCCTGAGTTAACTCTGAGGTAGGCAGAGGCTTTTGCTCCTTTGCAAGGGCGTTTTCAGTAATGTTCATTGTGCCTCTGTCTCTTTTTTTGCTCTTGGTCATTGTACTTCTGGTTATCAGATTCTTCTCCTCGGGGCAGGTTGCTAAGCTGTGTCACCCACAGTTCTCCAATTCAGTTTTATTGATTGCAGTTGGTACATGGTTCTTTGCTTCCAGTCTCTTGTGCCACTCCCTCCAATGAGTTTCATATCTGGGCTCAATTCAAATTTGAGCCTCTTCAGCATTTTTGTTTTACTTTTTTTATTTTTAAGGATTTGTTTATTTTATTGGAAAGGCAGATCTACAGAGACAAGGTGCGACAGGGAGCAAGATCTTCCATCTGCTTGTTCACTACCCAAATGGCCAAAACAACCAGAGCTGAGTTGATCTGAAACCAGACGTCAGGGGTTTCGTCCCGGTCTCCCACATGAGTGCAGGGCCTCAAGAATTTGGTCTATACTCCATTGATTTCCCAGGCTATAATCAGGGAGCTAGGTGGAAAGTGGAGCAGCAGGGACATGAACCGGCACCCATATGGGGTCAAGGTCTTCCTTTGGCCTTTTCTCTGGACTCACAGTGTAGACAGTGCCTTTGCATTTCACATAATTCACACATGCCTAGCAGGTGGTAGGTGCTCAGAAGACAACCAGATTTTGTCACTGGGTGCCTGTCCTTTCTTTGGACTCCACTTGTGGTGGATCACGGGCCTGGCATTAAATCCTTTCGTGAAGGAGGTAAAGGTGTTTCATTTACCTTGGCTCTCATTGCCTGCTCAGCTTCCAGCTCTTCCTCCAGTTCTTCAGTTCAGGCCTAGCTGACACATGAAGAGAGAGAAGACAGGTGTCATCTCTTGCGTGGAGAGTGAAAAAATTATCCACTTGGCCTTTTAGAATGGGAAATAGGGGTGAGACTGGTTGGCAGTGTCCGAAGGGAGAGAGGCAGGAGAGGGTAGGTGAAGCTGAGGTCCTGAGACAGGAGGAAGCCTGGTGTATGTGAGACCCAGCGAGGAGCCAGCACGTCTGGACTGCGCGGTGAGGGGAGTGGTAGGTGATGAGGTCATTGCGGGAGCAGGAATTAGGGCTTCCTGACTGTCGCAGGGACTTTGGATTTGGGCCTGGGTGGTGCGAGCATGAGTTCATCTCCACGGCTGTCTTGAACGCGGAAGACCTCAGCTGCTCATTGGCTGATGTGAATGAAACAGACAGAGAAGAAGAGTTTAGACTCCTTAGTCCTGTCCGTGTACGTGCTGTTTCTTGAGCTTCCGCTGCTGCAGTGAACAATTTAGAGACTGCTCATCCTCCCCTTTAGACATGACAGAATTCATTTCCAAGCCGCCTGCCAGGGAAGGTTTCATCTCGAGGAAATGCTGTGTGGGTAGCCCAGCAGGTTGGTGATGGAGTGCAGCCTGGATTGCCCAATGTGACCTTGAACCTGTCAAAACCCTCTCATCTCCCATCCCTGCCTTGCAGACTGACAGCAGTGCGTTCAAATCTGAAATCTACCCTGCAGGATTTTCATTACTCACTCATTCATTCATTCATCCATTCACTCATGTTGATCTATGCACCAAAGGTGTGTCGAGGACTCCCTGTATGCCAGCCAGGGTTGGGGCTGCAGGGACACATCAGTGAGCCACCACTGCCATGCAGCTCTCATTCACAGGGCCCCAGGGTCACAGTGCTACTGCTTTTTTTTTTTTTTTTTTCCCACTGAGATCTTCCCTCTGAAAATGCTGCCCAAAGGGCTCTCTCTCCTCTTGTGGTGCAAGTTGCAGGTTCCAAGAGCTATATGTAAGAATCACCTCCCCATGTGAGGTGCCAGAGACGAGGTGAGGAGGAGGACAAGCAGGGTCACTGGCGCTTGCTGTGATTGCCACAGGAGCGATGTTAGAGCAGTCTAAGATGGTGCACAACCGCCTTGGCCGAATATACTTCCAGATGCATCGTCCAAGTTCTGCTCCCTAGAAGCTTCCCATATCCAACTTCTTATCTCCATTCCCTTGTCTGGACAACTGCAGTACCTTTTCAGTTGTCTTCCTGCTTCTGGCTATTCCCCACTCCATCTGCCCTCCCCATGAGAACACGAGGTGATCAAATATCACTTACTCCTTGTTATCCCAAAGGGCCAGTCTACGGGTGTCTGAGATCTCCCTGCCCTGCTTAGACCCTGGGGCTTCCAGGGCAGTGGATCCGATCTCCTTTCCAGTGCCCCAGGGCAGCTTGTGAGGCTAGGAGCTCCCTGAAGACAGAGCAAACCCCACTCTCTTGATCCTCTGTGCCAGTTACAGTGCCTGGTACAAAGCAGCTGTTTGAGATGTCAGTGCCTGACCCCTGGCCCCACTCTGGAAAACGCCATCACTGCTACGCATCATGATGGACAACACACATGACCACACAGGCCTACTTTCCTAACAATTGCTCAAAATCAAGATTGGAGCGCGCCATCTTACTGCAGTTGGCAGTGGTCATCTTCAAAGTTCACCTCTGCTCAGATTTTCTCTTTCAGCTCCCAGTAACCCTCCAGCCACAGAGACAAAAGCACAGGAAGCTGGGTGAGAGGATTGTGAATCCTAACAGCAGGAAGGAAGCAGCTATCAGAAACGCGCTTGTGTCCTGGGGCGGGTGCGGCATTCTGGTTTCCAAACCCATATCAGGATCTTGTACCCTGAGGTGGACCAGGCCCCCGGTTGTAGAAAATTCCCCAGAAACTGTGTTCCCTCATGGGTCTGGGTGCTCAGCTTGCTGTTGCTCTTGGTCAGGTGGCTTATTTTGTCCTGTTCTTCTTGGAGGTTGTCCAAGGTTTTGTGGAAGGGAAGATACTCACACATGTGTCCTCCGGGTAAGCAGAAGCTGTTGCAGAGGCCAGGCTTCCAGTCGTCACTTCTGGGTTGTACAGTCACTGGAACTTGGGGACTTGAGTTGACTTGAATGAACAGTACCCCTGGGCACCGAGTGAGGCCAGGGCATACAGAGGTGTGCAGCTTGGGTGGCAAGTGGGTTCTCAGGGGTCCTTTGGAGACTCTGGCTCTCCAAGGGACATATTGAAAATCTGTGGGGCCCGGCGCTGTGGCACAGTGGTTAAGGTCCTTGCCTTGCATGCCCGGGATCCCATATGGGCGCTCATTCTATCCCTGCAGCCCCGCTTCCCTTCCAGCTCCCTGCCTGTGGCCTGGGAAAGCAGTCGAGGACGGCCCAAAGCTTTGGGACCCTGTACCCACGTGGGAGACCCAGAAGAGGCTCCTGGCTTCAGATCGGCATAGCATCGGCCGTTGCGCTCACTTGGGGAGTGAATCATTGGACGGAAGATCTTCCTCTCTGTCTCTCCTCTCTGTATATCCGCCTTTCCAATAAAAAATAATAAAAATAACTCTTAAAAAAAAAAAAAGAAAATCTGTGGAGTGCTTTTGGTTGTCTTAGTAATTGGAGGCCCCACAGACTTTTACTGGTTGATTCCAGGGACACTAGATGTTCCCCCTTGCTCTGGACGACCCAGCACCATGAAGAATAATTTTGCAGTCCTCATGCTTAATGTACCACCAACGCCTTCACGCAAGTAAAGCTAACCATCACACCTCTATGAACCTAGCACCTGACACCATTTTGTGTAGCGCATTCTTTCTCATGGATTGTACACTGCATGTTCAGAGAATGATCTGCCAGGAAAACCAAGCACTCCGCCTCTGTTGCAGACTTGTCCAAGAGTCAGCTGCTGTACTGTACTCCCATCTCTGCAGCAGCATCTCTTCCCAGCTGAGTCACACCACAGCCTTCCATGCCCTTCTGTGGCCCTTGCAAATGTCTCCTGCCCTATCTGCTCCAGCTTCGACACACTGCGAGCACATGGCTTATCCTGAATGACTTTGCATTCATTTCTTCTTTACATCAAAGAGCTTTCTGTTATTGTTATTTTTTAGTTATTAATTTTTGTTGGAAAGGCTGATCAGATTTACAGAGGGAAGAGACAGAAAGATCTTCCATCTGCTGATTCACTCTCCAAGCGGTCACAATGGCTGGAGCTGAGCTGATCCAAAACCAGGAGCCAGAAGCCTCCTCTGGGTCTCCCATGTGGGTGCAGGGTCCCAAGGCTTTGGGCCGTCCTCCACTGGCTTTCCCAGGCCACAAGCAGGAAGGGGTATAGGAAGTACAGCAACCGGGACATGGGATCCCAGTGCTCGATGGAAGAGGATTAGCCAGTGAAGCTTTTGTGCCGGGCCCCCTGTTGATGCTTTTGAGGTTATGCCATATATTATTAATACTTTTCTATTTCAGGATAGTGAGAGGGCATTCCAAAATACAGTGGTTCCCCATCACTTGTGGATTCTGTATCTGCCTAATATCTCACTCACTAAGAGTCACTTGGAGTCCCAGATCTGGGCTCATGTGCTTTCTTGGTCAGTTGTGAATATGCATGTGGTGGGGAATTCTGGATTCCAGGGTTAGGGCCAAGAAGGTGATGCTCTGCCTTCTTATTTCAGCTCCCACGCGCTACACAAGGGTCTCTGGGCTCTACTTGGTGTCATGATGTCTGCATTTCTGTGGTTTGCAGTTGGTAGTTTCATAGTCTTGATGGCTCCCAAATTCAGGGCTGACATGCTGTCCTGTGTTCCTAGTACAAAAAAAAAAAAAAAAACAAAAAAACAAAAAACTGCTGTGCTTTGTGGAAAAAAGCATGTTAGAGGCAGCACTCAGGCACAAGTCATAGTACTGTTGATCAGGAGTCCAAAGTCGACAAACCAACAGCTTATAGTAAATAGTTTCTTTCTTTCTTTCTTTCTTTTTTTTTTTTCTAAATTCACAGGTAGAGCTGGAGTTGTGGCACCATGAGTTAATCCAATGCTGGCATACCATACGAACACCAGTTTGAGGCCCAGATGTTCCACTTATGATCTTGCTCCCTGCTAATGCACCTGGGAAAGCAGCAGAAGGGGGCTTAAGGTGCTTGGACCCCTGCACGCATGTGGAACACCCAGAAGAAGCTCCTGGCTCTTGGTTTTGACCTGGCGTAGCCATAACTATTGTGGGCCTTTCGGAAGTGAATCAGCAGATGGAAGATCTTTCTGTGTTTCCATCACGCTCTGTCACTTTTCTTTCAACTAAGTAAAACAAATCTTTTTGTTTAGGTCCACATAAAACAAAGCAATACAGATGTTGTAGTCATATGTGTTATGCATTGGTTGGCTGACAAAATGTGAAGACCAGAGGCTTGTTGGAATTTAGCTATGTATTTCCCTTAGGAGCAATGGTTCATGTTTGCTGACTCAGTGTCTGTGGCAACTTGACCGAGCACAGCTACTGTGATGACAAGACTCAGTGTGTGTACTCTTTTTTTTTTTTTTAAAGATTTATTTATTTTTATTGGAAAGGTGGATATACAGAGAGGACAGAGAGGAAGATCTTCTGTCTGATGGTTTACTTCCCAAGCAGCCACAAACGGCTAGAGCTGAGGCAATCCAAAACCAGGATCCAGGAACTTCTTCCGGATCTCCCACAAGGGTACAGGGTCCCAAGGATTTGGGCAGTCCTTGACTGCTTTCCCAGGCCACAAGCAGGGAGCTGGATGGGAAGCGGAGCTGCTGGGATTAGAACCGGTGCCCTTATGGGATCCTGGCGCATGCAAGACGAGGATTTTAACTGCTATACTAGTGTGCTGGGCCCAGCGTGTGTACGAATCTGGCGAGGACTGCAATCTAAGAGAGCTCAGGGGGTGTGTCATGGACAAGCGTCAGCAGACACAGGAGGGAGGAGCTGCTGTCCAGCTGCGGTTTCCACTCCGTATCCCCAGAGGTGCTCCCTGCCCTGCTCAGCCCTGGTGGCCCGTCAGAGCCTGAGCTGAGGCGAGGACTGTGGGGCCTCCACATGACCTCAGAAGCTAGTGACCCGCTGTTGCCCTAGTGTCACCGTAGCTTAGAGGACGGGGCACCCTTCCTTACATTCCATTTCATCCTCACAACTCTGGTGACTGCTCCCGGAGTAGCCCATCGTTTACAATTACCAATAACTCCCCCACTTCATTCTCAGAACGGTTCTATCTTGGTTGATAACACACCTGGAAGGCAGGTGACAAGATGTGGCTGCACCTACTTCACTGGTGAGAGAATTGAGGGAGAGCCCTCACTTCCCTGAACATGTCTTCAGCTCCATGTGTAAAGCATGTTGTGCCAAACTCCACCTGTCCTGTGGAGGTCCGCTGGGTGACCTGACCTGGGGCAGCTCCTCCTGCGCCCTCTTCTCCATCTGTAGCCTGGCAGTGGAGTTTTGATGGAGCGACAGATCCCCCAGTCTGAGTGTGGACCTTGTGATCCAAGGCAGGGAGAGAGGCGGGGTCCTGAGTGTGAGAAATAGCCTTAGTGGGGGAGGGAGGCAGGTCCTTAGCCTAGCAGCAACCTCGGATCCACTGGGAGCTTGAGAAATGCCAAGGCCAGGGCACATCCCACACCATCCAGAATCGCCAGTGGAAGGAACCAGCAAGAACTGTAATTTCAGGCCTCTGCCATTCACAGCATGGTCTTTGCACCTTGGCAGTCCCTAGGAGTGTAATAGAAACACAGATCCTCTCTTCCCGTAGGAGTCTGCACCTTGCTGATCCCCCTGGAGGTCTGTGTGCATATCAGTCAAGAAGCAGGATCTGGAGTTGTGGCATAGCAGGTAAAGCCGTTGCCTGTGGCAACATCCCATGTGGGTGCTCATTCAGGTACTGACTGCTCTACTTCCAATCCAGATCCCTGATAGTGTGTCTGGGAAAGCAGCAGCAGATGGCCCAAGTGCTTGGACCCTTGTCACCCACCTAGGAGACCTGGGTGAAGCACCTGGCTTCTAGTTTCAGCCTGTCTCAGCACTGGCTATTGTGGCCATTGTAAACCAAGCAGACGGAAGACATTTTCTCTCTCTCTCTCTCTCTCTGTATCTCCTCCTCCTCTCTCCATCTCTGTAACTGTGCGTTTCTAATAAATAAATAAAACCCTTTTTAAAAAAAGATTTATTTACTTTCATTGGAAAGGTAGATCTACAGAGAGAAAGACCTTCCATCCATTGCTTCACTTCCCAAGTGACCACAATGACCAGAGCTGAGTGGATCTGAAACCAGGAGCTTTCTCTGGGTCTACCATGTATGTAGGTGTGAGTCCCAAGGCCTTGAGCCATCCTCCACTGCTTTCCCAAGCAGGGAGCTGGATTGGGAGTGGAGCAGCCAGGACACACAGCAGCAGCCATATGGCATGCCAGTGTTGTAAATTGGAGGCTTAACCTGCCATACCATGGTGCCAACCCATAAAGAAAATCTTAAAAACAGTGGAGACACACGGGTTGAGGCAGACTCCATCGACCCTGCTCAGGAAGGGAAACCCACTCACTTGTGAAAGCAGGATGGAGGCCTAGGCCAAGGGCTGGCCAATGGTGTCAGAGCTCCTCGGAAGGCAGCTAATGTTTGGACAGAAGCCAGCATCTGAAGGTGGGCCCTTAGCCTCAGTGAAAGTAGCTCTCAGTACACAGCCAGCTGTCCTGTCCAACAGAACTTGTGGAGAGAATGGGCATATTCCTTGTGCTGTCCAGTGCAGCGGCACTCAATACAGGCCACGGGGCACTGGGCAGACGGCTGGCGTGGCTGACGAGCTGCGTATGAAGCTGTATTGAATTGACATAGCCTCCTGTGGTAGTGGCTGGAGCGTGTAATTTGGTCAGAGCAGCGATGTCTGCTGCAGAGCAGGAAGGAGTGGTGATGTAATGGGTCATTGTGGTCACAGGCGGTTTAACTGTGGACTTCGAATCTTACTCAGGATCATTAAATGTCCACCTTCCCCATAGGATGTGGTGACAGGCAGGCATCTGAGGAAATCTTTGCAACCAAAGGGCGACCAGGATCTTTCCAGGATCTCTGTGGAAACTTTGTCATCCATTCCTGCTTGCTGCTCACCTTGCTTTGACACGGGCAAGAGCGAGCTGTGGAAGTCACATGGCAGAGCCAGACTCTGGCCCCAGAGGGCGCTCTTGCCACCACGTCTGCACAATCTACAGCCGGGCCAAGCCTGCTGCCAGGTGTGACTGCCAATGAGACGTCCTGGCACTTGAACCAGGGGTGATACCAGAATGAAGGAAAAGAACAAACCTAAGGATTTTCTGAGTCTAGCGGGACACACCTGGCCTGAAGAGCTCCCCCTGCCCCTCCCTGGGTCTGAAGGAAGCAACCCTGGGGTCCTGAAGACATGCCAAGGCTGCCACCCCTGCCCCTCCCTCCCAGGACCCGGTGTACAGCCACTCCTTGGCTTTCATGCTCTTCTTGCTGAGACACATTTAGGAGTGGCTTGACCTCGGTGACAAGCTGTATCAAAAGTCTTGGGGGGGGTGCTTTTGCTAGGGGGACTTGGGTGGGCCGCGGGTCTTTGTCCCAGATTTGACCTGGCACCACCGTGAGCTGCAGTGCTGTGAGGCCGTCTGCACAGATTCTGTCGGTCTGAGCTCCATCACAAGCAGCACCAACCTCGACAGAGAGGGCCCATCTTTGCTTAGGACAAATTCTTCTCTAAGCATGATAGGGAAGGAGAGGGAGAGAAGGAAGAAAAGAGAGGGCAATTCTTTCTGCTGGTTCACTCCTCACATACCCATCACAGTTGGGGCTAAGCAAGGCCAAAGGCAGGAGCCAGGAACTCCAGCTGGGTCTCTCCTATGAGCAGCAGGGACCCAAGAACTTGAGCCATCCTCTGCTGCTTTCCAGGTGAATTAACAGCAAGCTGAACGGGAAGTGTGAAACAGCCAGACTTCAAACCAGGCACGTCAGCAGGGGATGCAGGCGGCTTACCCCACTGAGCCGCAAGTCCCACCCAGGACCAACTCCCGGGATGCTTTTTAGCCCTGAGAGACGAGCTGTTAGGCATTCCTCAGCAGCCGGAGAACCAGTGCTTCCCTCCCTCTGTATGTGTTCATGCAGCGGTGCCCTGGCAACACGTACAGCTCCAAGTTGCCCTCCCTCTCCTCCTCGCTGATGCCTCCCTCCTGCGACACCTGTCTCCCCATCTCTCTCTGTTTCAGTCTATCTTTTCACCAACCTGCTTACCTACCTGTCTCTGTCTCTCACTTTCACTTCTCAGCCCTGCACCTGTCCAGGCGCTCTCTCCTGACTTCTGCTCCCAGATGCGTAAAGCTGCACCTTCTTCGCCATTCACCTGGGAACAGCGACTCCTGTTCTGTAGCCCAGCATGTCTCAGGACCTCTCGATGCACTTGGCATTTGTTACCTAGCCCCTGTGCCAGGGTCCCTCAGACCCCAAAGTGGCATTCCTCTGCCTGCTGGGCTGCCAGCCTCTTGAAGTGCTCCCGCCTTACTGCTCTGGGTGCCCACAGTACCCAGCAGAGCCTGGTGGACAGCAGGAGGGTGAGCAGCATGGAAATGGATTTGGGAAGAAGATAAAGGGGGTGGAGGTCTGAGATACCACAGTGGCCAGGTCCATGTGAAAGGATGTCACACACATATAGCTGGCAGCTGGTAATGCATTCTGTTCAGGGGCCTCCCACTGAGTTTTTGCCCATTGACCTATCCTATCTGGCTTAATTCAATACAATTAGAGCTGAAAGTGTTGAGAGTAAGTGATTTAAAAAAATTAATTGAGATGGGACCCTGAGTGACTGTGGACCCAGGACTTCCAGAAGGCACCAGGCCACATGGGATGAGCTCAGGCACCGCCTAGAAACCCTTTGAGGATGGTATGTGGTCCAGGGGTTCAGGCACTGCTTAGGATGCCTGCGTCCCACATTGGAGCACCTGAGTTCAAGTGCTGCCAACTTTCCCAGTCTCAGCCTTCTGCTAACGTGTACCCTGAAGGGCAGCAGGTGAGTCCCTGCACCCCGTGAGGACTCCTGGATGGAGTTCCTGGCCTCTGGCTTTGGCCTGGCCCAGGCCTGGCTGGTTGTTTTGGCATTTGGGTGGTAGACTGGCAGATAAGAGTTCTACTTTCTTTTCTTTCTTCCTCTTCTTTCCTTTCTCTCTTAAATAAGTAAATCATTTTAAAAAATTAAAAATTTCCTAGAAAGGCAGATATACAGAGAGAAGGAAACACACAGAGAAAGGTCTTCTGTCCACTGGTTTACTCCCCAAATAGCTACAACAGCTGAAACTGAGCGAATTTGAAGCCAGGAGCTTCTTCTGGGTCTCCCATGCATGTGCAGGGTCCCAAGGCTTTGGGCTGTTCTCCACTGCTTTCCCAGGCCACAAGCAGGAAGCTGGATAGGAAGTGGAGCAGCTGGGACACGAACCAATACCCATATGGGATCCTGGTGGATGCAATTGCCACTAGGCTATTGTGCTGGTCCCTAAATAAATTTTTAATAATAAATCCTTTGATTACATATGAGAGTACTTCAAAATGTTTATGGGAAACTGAAATTAAAAGGCAAATTTATTTTGATGTGAAAAGCCTTTTGAAATCCATGTGTAGTTTAGTTTTTTCATAATGCACATTTTCCATGAAGTTTTTGAAGACCCCAGGTATGTACAGGTTTTGACATTTTTGCACTTAAATACACTTATCTTTTAATTTTCATCAACTTTCTAATTGCCCTCATTGTTACTTTAATCAGTACATAAAAATATGAAAAAGAAGTCATTGAATCCACAATATTGTGGATAATGTTTGTTTAGCATGAGATCAAAATGGGTCAGAATGCAAAGTTTCCTTTTAAAACACAATTTTTGGAATAAAAAATTGAGTCAGTGTAAAGGAAGGCTGGTCATAGAGCGGGTGAGGAAAGTTGGGTGGTGCAGTGACAGCGGGACCACCTGCAAGAGGCTGTCCTGTCTCAGATCCTTCCTTGAGGATGCAGAGTTTGCCATGCCTTCCTTTCTAGCTGTGATCGACGCCCATCATTAGAAAGTTCTTTCCGGGCCCGGCGCGGTGGCGCAAGTGGTTAAAGGTCCTCGCCTTGCACGCCCGGGATCCCATATGGGCGCCAGTTCTAATCCCGGCAGCCCCACTTCCCTTCCAGCTCCCTGCC